TCAAAACTTTGCAAGCTGGGTTCATGATTCCACTAAAAGTTGAACAACAAGAACCTCCTCTAGCGCTACAACCCATGAACATAACAGTCTCCCAAAAATATTTTCCTTCAAAATGCAAGCTTCAAGGAGAAGTGTTTGAAATCATCTAAGCTGAAAGATCCCCAGGACTAGCAGGAAAACAAAACAGCAGAGGCTCTGAATCACTCATGTCTCAACCAAGTGTTTGGAAAGCAGAAGGGAGAGAGGAAACAGAGCTGGCTCCACAGGTAAAGCCTGATGACTGCGTTCCATTCCAACACAAAAGGGAAAACTGAGTCTACAAATTGTCTTCTGACTTTCACCTACATTCAATCCAACAGAGTTCCTGCTCTGTTAGAGGGAGACAAGATCCCTGGAGCTTGCTGGTGGATCAGCCTAACCAAGTCCAATGGGCTCCAGGTTCAATGACAGATCTTGTCTCAAAAATTAAAAGGGAAGGTGTGGTGGCACACACCTTCAACCCTAACACTCTGGAGGCACAGGCAGGTGATCTTCCTAAAGATCACTATGTAGAGCAACCCGGTCAAATTAAATAAACAAGGTGGGATGCAATCAATATGTACCCATACATACATGTATATGTGCACAGAAACACTACATCATATGCATATATATACACACCCACACACCAAACTTATCATTACAACAATCTTGCTACTCCGGAAGAGATAGATGACAGAGGAATTGAGTACTACACAATGAACACATTTTTAAAATACTGGGAGCGGGGCATAGTGGTACACGCCTTTAATCCTAGCACTTGGAAGGCAGAAGTAGGTGAATCTCTGAGTTCAAGGCTAGTTCAGTCTACGCAGGGAGTTTCAGAATAGCCAAGACTACACAAAGTGAAAGCCTGTGTGTGTGTGTGTGTGTGTGTGTGTGTGTGTGTGTGTGTGTGTTTAGGGGTGAGCCTGGGGAAGGAGGGCTGCTCAGAGTATACTTCAAAAGTATTGCTTCACTGTGTATCTAGATGTAGATAATGAAGGACTTTTAGTACTTTCTAGCCCAAACCACTTCTCTAATCTTCAAAATCACACTCAATCTTAGCACCCACCCAGCCAATTCACCACCAGCTCAAAGACGACCTGGCCACATCTCCACATCAGCACAAGCATTTGCTCACTAACCTAACACCTCGGCAGTACCCTCCACAACCAATCCATTACTAAGTGTAATGACTTTACTTTCTAAGTGTCGACCTGTTCTGGGAGGGATGGTTTGTACCAAGCCATTCTAATCTCAGAGCAGGCTACACTTCAAAGCAAAGCCCCTGCTGCCTCCAGAAAGACCTAGTTTAGAGCAAGGCCTGGTTGCAATCTGTCTCGGGGCATAGCAACATCACCATCTCCACACTTAATGAGCACATCAGACCATCAGAAATCTGACCGAGTAAACCAGTAGCAAAAAGAGAAAACATACAAGGAGTCTCACCAGAGAAGAGACAATGTCAGAAAAGCCTCCCATTAAAGAGCCTAAACTTTCTACTTCTGCCTTTTTGTCTTGGTGAATTCATTCACAGCACACATCACCAGTCTGTCAACACTGTCCCTGGCATGATAAACATCTCTTCAAACAACCTACTTCTCCCTATTCCCATCAATACTTCCCTGTTCTATGTAGACCAGGCTGGCCTGGAATTCAAGAGCCCCCACCTGCCTTTGCCTTTAAATCAGTGGTTCTCAACCTGTGAGTCTTGACCCCTTTGGAGGGTGAATATCATCAGATATCTTGCATTTACATTACAATTCATAACTGTTGGGTCCAGGGGGGTCGTGCAAAGATGAGAACACCACCAGGTCTAATAAACCAGAAGCAAACTTTATTCCAGAAACCAGATCCCAGGAAAACCAGAAGCAAACTTAAAAATTAAAAAAGATCGTGGGGCACAGGAGCTTATCAGCTAGCTGAGACCACAGCCAGAGGTGGTGTTTGTTAGGCTGTGGCCAAAGGCTAGTTCTCTGAACCCAACTTTTATAGTTAGGGCACCAAGCATTAGGTCTGAACAAAGGAACTTTTACGATCTTACCCTGACCCGTGGGTCAGTCAATGTAGACCCAAAGGAGGGGAGTGGGTTCTAACGTCCATAGGTAACTAAGCAGCTATCATGAAATATGTTTCAGAGTAATTACAGAGAAAGTCACTAATTGCAAGAAACAGGTGTCTTTAGCAATTAGTCAGAAAAGGGACTGCTAGTAATATCAGAGGGTTGATAAGTCAGAATAATTGGTTCTTAGGTTGGGAACTGAAAAGACAGCAGAAAGCTTTTCACACTATCTCAAGGAAAAACTCAGGTACAGACTGCCACACTTTATAACCTCCATTATCAGAGCTCATTAGTCAAATCAGGTGTTTGCACCGTGGTCACTGTTTCTCCCAGTACCTCTAGGCAGTGTGTACTGAAGCCCCTTGTTTCCCCTTTGATGGTGCCAGTTTTTCATAACAAAGACAGTGCCTAACCCAGAGGTCACGTATCTCTGCCTCCTAGAAGTTAACTCAGTTCATATCTGTCGTTCATCAAGGGTGGCCAGGACATTACTCTCAGTTTGCAAGAGAGAAGCTCTGGCCTTGTAAATAGAACAGCCAGTTGTAAAATGAAATGACCTAAAGTGATGGAGGCTTCTTAAGCGGCTGAGAAAATAGCTCACTGTGAATGACTGACCCTTGATCTACTGAGAAATCTGCTGACAGTCTGTTCCCATTCCCCTAGACTTATAACTTTATATTCCTTTATTTCTACATTCTTATTTTTGGAATCTACATTTTTATTTTCTTGTTCTTGGACTCTTCAATAACAATAGAAAAATTAGTTATGAAGTATCAATGAATTACTTTTACGATTGGGTCACAACATGAGGAACTGCACTAAAGGGTCGCAGCATTAGGAAGGCTGAGAACCACCAGTGGCTCTAAATCCTGGAACTAAAAAGCATATGCCATCACACCCTGCTCATTTCCTTGTTCAAAAGACTTTTTGCCTGACAGTATTGCAACGACCCTCTAATTAGTGTCCTTCATTTATTCAGAATGCTCCCATCTTCCCCTATGAGCACAACCATCTACACTACTTGCTCTCTTGCTGAAATACAAATCTAATCACAAACATCCTTTAAAGCAGTTTACTGACTTCCCGAAACTCCAGGGATAAGGCCTTGAAATTCCTGAAATAACACATAAAGCTCTGTAATCCAGATTCAACCTGCTGGCTTTTAATTCCTCAAAATGTCATGCTTTAAATGATGTGGCCCATTGGTAGACAGAATGTTTGCCTAGAATGCCCAAAGACTAGGGTTTAATCCTAGTCCTACCAAAAAACCAACCTCAAATGTAAATTGTGACACTACCACACTTTCCTTTCCTCATCCAGGCTTCTTGTTAAACCCTTTAGTTAGCCTTACATCTTCAAGGTGCCTGCCCAGCCTTCCCTGACAAGCCCAGGTTATCTGCTTTATGCAATCACAGCATTTCAGCATATGCCATTTTCACTTAGGAGAACATGTGGATTGTATCTGCCTCCCTCTTTAGAGTGGGAATGCTAGGGAGGCAGGGGTTTGGTTCACCAAAATTTCCCTCACATCAAGTACAATGTGTGGCACAAGGTGAATGCTCAAAGTCTCAACTGAGTGGATTGAACACTCCCTGCCTTACCTAGCGGGCTCTTCACCAACCACAGTCCACGCATCCCTGTGATGATGGAATTGTTCTGTAACTGCTATGTCCAATGTGACAGCCACTAAGCTCGGCTATCAAGCACTTGAAAAAGTGATCAAACGGGGCCTCTGAATTCCTAATTTTAATAGCCCCCCAGTACTAGGGCTTGAACTGAGGGCCTTGCACACACCTCCACCATTTGCAAGACCTCTACCACTTAAAATGCACCACCAGTCCTTCTAATTCTATTATTACTAATTAATATGTAAATTACTAACTAATTAATATGTAAAGAACCACACGTGGTTGTGATGAACAGGAATGTAGTTCTTGACAGTTAAAAAGCATTAATATTAAGAACATGGTTAGTTTCGAAATGATCTTGGCAGGACCTCTGTAAACTCGGCTCTTCCTTCATTTGGTCTTGACTTGGTGTTTTCTAATATTTCAAACCAGAGCTGATCACAAGCTGCTTCCATTCCAAGTTCCTGACATTGGCTCAGGGACCCATTAATTGCTACAAATGCGGTTCCGGAGACACACAATAGGCGGGAGACTTCTCGAGACAACTCACGTTGAGTACGTAATCTACACTAATTCCTCGGGAGCAGGGGTTCTCGCACTTCAATAAAACTAAGGTGCCAAATGTCTCTCCGCAATTCCCAAGTTCCCTCCTCAGCTCCCACCTTCTGCCCAAGAGGCCTTTCTAATTGCACGCTCAGGGAGTACCGGCTCCCTGCCCATCTGTCCTATCTGCCCAAGTTCAAAAGAACCCGGACTCACTAAGAGGCCGGAGAGACACCGGAGATGTCACTGCCAGGAAGAACCCGAGACTGCGAAGAGTGTGCCAGCCCCACAAGCAGGGGTCTCCGGCCCGTAGGCACGGCGAACCGCAGCGAGCAGGTTCCGAGATCCTGGACCAATTTCAGTAGTTCAAGCACCTCGACTGACGCTTGGGCCTCAGCTCCGCTCCTCCCCACCGCCCCGCTCCTCCCCACGGCCTGGCTCCTTGCTACAAGCGCCGCTACCCACCTCAGTCTCCCTCAGATGCTCCACCGGAGCGTACAGGTACCGCGGGGGCGGGGGCGGAGGGAATGCCCTGCCAGATTGGCCAGGGTGCGCCAGCAGCCAGGCCTTAGCCATCTCGTCCTCCTCTTCGTCCGTGCTTTCCCGCGTTTGGGACTCGCAGTTAAAATCCAAATCCACCTCGGGCCCCGCCTCTTCAAATTCTATCTCTTCCACTTTCACAGTCTCTTCAGAGGTCCGGGCCTCCCCGGTCTCCTCGGTCGCCGCCGGGGACGCGTTCTCCACCTCCTCCTCCTCCTCCTCCTCCTCCAGCTCGCCGGGCCACGGGAGGTCCTCCGGCTCCATGTTGGCGTCGCGCTCCAGGCGGCTGTGCAGGAGGAGGAGGAGGAGGAGGTGGAGGAGGAGGAGGAGGAGGAGGAAAGGGGAGGGGGCGGGGAGAGGAGGGGGAAGCGAGTTGACTGGCGGTTGCGACCGCGCGCAGGCGCACTTGCCGCCACCGCCCCAGACGGGGCGGGGCTGCTAGTGAGAGCGCGCGTTGCTAGGGACGCCCCGCGGAGCGCGCGGAAAAGCGGCGGGAGAGGAGGTCTGTGACCAGCTTCGTCACCAGACCTTGCTTATAGTACTGTATGCTCACAATAAACCTAGACCGGGATCTTCTGGGGGCTCTAGGGCACTTCCTGCTCAATTCACTCCTGATTTTTTTTTTTTGTCTCTCGCCCTCAAACCCTAGGATAAACCCATAACTGGATAAATCACATTCGCAAATTACAGATGTTTAAAGACTTAGTGCCTTAAGTGACAGTCTACAGCTGGCATTGTAGTAAGTGTAAGGGAGTTAATAGGTTTTTTTTTAAAAAAAAAATCGACGCTGGAGTATAAACATAGGAAGTGGGATCTGACTTTACCACCTGCGGTGGTGTGAAAAGGAGCACCTAGAAAATGCGGTTAAGAGGCCCCTGCAGGTCTGGCTAGGTGGTTCCGCCAGCAAGGCATCTACAACACGAGTCTAAACACCTGACTTCAATTCCCAGAAGCCATATAAAAGTAGAAGGAGAGAACCAGTTTCCCTAAACGGTCCTTACTGTGCGAGTGCACAGCAAGGAGGAGGAAAGGAGAAGGATGTGGCCGGGTGTTAAAGAGAAGTTGGGATCAAAGGCGTGTGCCTTAACGTGCCTTTAATCCCAGCACTTGGGAAGCAGAGGCGGTTGGATCTCTGTGACTTCAAGGCCAGCCTGGCCTACAGAGGAAGTTTCTAAACTGCCAGGGTAACATAGAGAGGCCCTATCTCCAATAATAATAATAATAATAACTTTTTAAAAAAGAGGGTGGGCAAAATGCCTTAGCAGGTAAAGGCCTTGCCCACGCCACTCCCACCCTGCATGACAGGCTTCTAGCAGCAAAAGCTGCACCTCCTTCATCTAAAGGCATCACAAGTGTTCAATTGACTGAATCATTGAACTAAACATTTCTAATTTAAACCATCACAGATAGACATTTTTTCAGGTCTCCACAGAAAAAGCCACAAGTATGCTCAGTGTCTGGAACAGACACTTAAAGGTCTCTGGCCTTTAAGGAGATGCTCAGTAAACACTGTCAAATCAAATGAAGTCCAGATTGAATTGTCTGGTCCAAAGATGATAAATGGAATACAGGCATAAATTTGGCTTCCCTTGGAGTTCCTATAGCTGTCTGCCTACTGGAGAACTTTTGACTTCCTGTCCCAGCTAGCCCCTGGGGGGCATCAGAAAGACAGAAAGTGAAGTAGGTGTTCCACCAGGTGTTTGTGTGACTGGAGGGAACGTGATTAAAACTTGCAGTTGACTCCAGATGGCAAACCCTCACAGCATAAAACATTGCCACCGACAGCTAAAGAAATCCATTAACAGCTCCAAAAAAAGATAATTACATATGGCAAATACAGAAAAAAAAATCTACCATACATATGCATATATGTGTGTATATACATCACTTGTTTGAAACCCACTCTCAAGTGTCATTCCAGCGGTGTTCTTTGATAAGTAACAGAAGTGACTGGTCAGTTTGTTTGTTTTCTTCCTTGCTCATTTGAGACAGGATCTAACTCTATAATCCAGGTTATCTTGGAACTATGTAGCTGACCTCAAACCTGGGGAATCCTCCTTCTTTAGCTTCTCTAGTGCTAGGGCTATAAGCATCAGCTACATGTCTGGCTTCCTCTAGTCAATACAGTCGAAAAAGAAATTTATAGAAAATGAGTAATCTAACTGTAGCTCACGTACTTTGCAAAACAGAACCTCTCAGTTAATTCAGTCTAGAAAAATTGAATAAAATGTTATTTGAAAACATCAACATTTGCCAGGCAGTGGTGGCGCACGCCTTTAATCCCAGCACTCAGGAGGCAGAGAAGAGGATCTCTGTGAGTTCGAGGCCAGCCTGGTCTACAAGAGCGAGTTCCAAGACAGGCTCCAAAGCTACAGAGAAACCCTGTCTCGAAAGAAAAAAATCATCAGCATCAGTAACTAAACCACCTTGTATGAAACAGAATGAAATTACAAGAAACATGAAATGGCACAACTCAAAACACACAACTGCATAGCAACAGTTTATGTGCATAATGTAAGGAGCAACACACTAACCTCAAGACGACTCATCTTTGCAAGTGGACACAAACTATAGAATATCACTTTAGCTCTGTTCACATCTACTTCCTGTCTCAGACTGCATCACAGGGTCTTTTATCCATTAGAAGACCCCAAACTCCATTTCTGAGGGGGTCTTGCCTTTATAGGGTTGCTGTCATCTTCCATATCATGATATTGCTAGACATGCCACTCTTAGAGAATGCCCCAGGAGATCACCTGTGTTTCAGATATATTCCCTCTTAGACATTTTTTTTCAGATTCATTTTAAATGTGTATTAATGTTTTGTCTGCATTTATGTATGTGCACCATGTGTGTGCCTGGTAGCTGAGGAGTTCAAAGGAAGGTATGGAATCCCTCAGAATTGGAGTTACAGGTTGTTGTGAGCCACTGTCTGGGTCTCAGGACCACTGCAAAAACAAGTGCTCTTAACCTATATACCACAGCCCAGCTCTTTCCGTATATATAATCTCCTCACTCCATTTTGTAGCTCTTTCTCTCTTTAGTTCCACTTGATAATCAGAATCCATTACCCTTGCCAAAAAGAAAGCCCCTTTCTGGTCTATTAAGCCTAACCCATCAGGTGACAGTTTCAACTTCCAGTTCAGTGGAACCCTTGTTGTGTTCATGTCGGAAACTATTTCCGTCAATCCAGAGACACGGAGACAAAAAAAAAAAAAAAAAAAAAATGTAGCAAAAAAAAAAAAATCAAAGACAATGAAGAAAACACATTTGTATTAACAATTAACAATGAATTCATGTTTCCCAGGACCATGAATTCTGGCTGTGAAAGAAATTTCACTTTTTCTGAAATGGTAATGCCTCAGAGGTAAGGTTCGCCCTTCCGTCTCCTAACTCCCCTGGTTATCTTAGGTCTAGCCCAGGAACATTCTCAACAGCCCACTAAATGATGTTGTAAGCTAAAGGTGAGGAAGTTCATGAGAAGACCTGCAATTTCTGTGGTATTCTTTTTTCTTAGCCAGTGTACTAGGCAAAGTGAGATGGGGCGTTATATAGATAGAGATACGAAGGAGGATAGGAATTTGTTTTAACAATTGGGTTACATGATTATGGGGGCTGAAAGGTCCCACTGCAAGTTGGAGCCTCAGGGATCTTGGTCCACGGGATCTCATATATAACTTTCAATCTGAATCATGAAGACTCAAGAATCTGATGTGATTTTAATGACTGGAGTTCTATGGTTCAAAAGCAAGGACATAAAAAGTATCCGGGCTCCACAAAAGATGGAATTCTACCCAGGCTCCCAGCTGATTGGATGCCAGCCTACAGAGAGAAAAGATCTTCCTCACTCAGTCCACCAACCCACATGGTACTCTCCAGAAAATCCCCCTTAAATTCAGGTGGTGGCACATGACTTTAATTCCAGCACTTGGGAAGCAGAGGTAGGCAGATCTCTCTGAGTTCAAGGCCAGTCTGTTTTCTATAAAGGAAGTTCCAAGCCATCCAGGGCTACATAGTGAGACCCTGTCTCAAAAAAAAACAAACAAAACTCCCCTTTAGTTTATATTTTCAGTAGGAAAAGGGGATTACTAAGTGCTTCCGTAAGCCGTTTCTACCACAACCCACAATTTTAAGGTCAGGGAACAATGTGTATTTTTCTGTCAGTAGTTAGATATCTTTACTTCAGCTATAAAACTCAAAATCTAAGAAAAAACACAGGATGCCCTTGAAGATCCATCGGGCCGGGCCACGGTGAAAAGAATGTGAAGGTTCTGGGGAAATGGCTCAATGGAGGGGAAAGGGTTCTCGCTACACAAGCACGAGGACTTGAGTTAGATTCCCCACATCCATGTAAGCCAGGTGTGGTAGCAGGTACCTGTAGTCCTGGGGCAGGGGAAGACGAGACAGAAGTCTCTCTGGGGCTCACTGGCCAGTCTGTCTACTGAGCTGCAAGTTCAGTGAGATATCATCCCTCAAAAAATAAGACGCAGAGGGTGGAGAGATGGTTCAGTGGCTCTTGCAGGGAGTTTGGTTCCCAGCACCCACATGAAGATTCACAACTGCCTGTAACTCTAATTCCAGGAGATCTGATTCCTTCTCATGACCTTCACGGGCACCAGGCATGCATATGGTGCACACATGTACATGCAGGCAGAACACTCATACCCATAAAAAATATATATAAATAAAAGAGGGAAAAAAAGACAACTGAGGATGACACCTGATTTGACCTCTGGACATTTGCACCCACACTTGCACACACACACACACACACACACACACACACACACACACACATCATCCCAAGTGTAATCACCTAGCTCTCCAAAGTCCCACCCTAAATGATGTTCCACAGTGAACTCAGACTCCGCAGGTAGATCAGCTTTGGTTTAGAGCCAGTTACAATTCCTGGGAGGTCTGCTTTTTTCACCATGGTTCAGTTACCATGGTGAGTAGGTTATGTGTCCCCTTGGGAAAGACAGGGAGTAAGAGTTGCTGTGTGTTTCTAAGTGACATCAGGGGACCTGATCACTTTTGTGCAAATGGTCCTGACTCAGAAATGGAAAAGAAGGGAGACGTCATAATTTTTTGTTTTGTTAGCTTACAATCAGGACTCCACATACTTACAGACTTCTGCTCCTCCTTTTTCTAGTTTTACAATTTAAGTAGAACCACAGTTAGTTGTCCTTTTGGCCATCACTGCCCACAGGGACCACATCAGAGTTCTCTGTGGCTCAACTATTTTGATTACCACTTTAACCATGAATCCATTGGGGAGTCAGGCCCAACCTCCATCCGTTGTTAAGGTCACTTTG